GAAAAAAGAGGGAGAAAAAAATAGGTAGATATTCCACAGTAATTCACTATCTTTTCATTTCATATGTGCTAACTTATATATCTCAGGAACTGAAATATACACAATATTATACAATATACAATATTAAAACACTTGTATTTCTAACAAAATCTGTCATATTTCTAGCAAAATTACTGTGTTCTTTAGCAAGACAGACATTTTACTCACTTATTCTTGGACTACTAAAAACACAATAAAATTGGAAAAAAATTAATATGAAAAAAAACTATAATATACTAAGGACTAAAAGATTTCTGAAGAAATAGAGAAAAGATTTAGACATAGAAAAATGCATAGAAAAACGTAAACACGCAAAACTTTAAGCCATGGAATTCTTGGTTGATAACATCGAAAGAAAACATATGTTCAAAATTCTTGCGTTATATATGACGTTATGTCTAAATCTTTTCTCTATTTCTTCAGAAATCTTTTAGTCCTTAGTATATTATAGTTTTTTTTCATATTAATTTTTTTCCAATTTTATTGTGTTTTTAGTAGTCCAAGAATAAGTGAGTAAAATGTCTGTCTTGCTAAAGAACACAGTAATTTTGCTAGAAATATGACAGATTTTGTTAGAAATACAAGTGTTTTAATATTGTATATTGTATAATATTGTGTATATTTCAGTTCCTGAGATATATAAGTTAGCACATATGAAATGAAAAGATAGTGAATTACTGTGGAATATCTACCTATTTTTTTCTCCCTCTTTTTTCTCTCGATTACAATATCCTATATAGTAATTCTTACTATGAAATACTCGTCATATATTATGCGCGGCGTGGTATCATTGCGTTATGTAATTCTTTAGTTTCAAATAGAAAGATATTTGTATAAAAGAACCCTTCTGATCGCTTAAGTATACTTATAAAATGCTACAGAAACTATAATTTTCCTTCGACAATCAATAAATAACCGTGAAATTAACGTTAGCAACCTTTTCTTTGACCTGCATTTCTTCATAATTTTGTCATGTTCATTCCATAACTATTTATTGACTACCAAGAAATAGTTTCCGGAATATTTTACTGAAGTATGTTCAAGCGATCTGAAGTGTTTTTTTCGTACAAATATTTCCTTATTTCAAATGACACGCAAGAAGTTTCAGCGTGTCATTTCTCGCATCTATTGTCACAATCTAATATGGCCGCGGCGAGTAGCCAAAAATCTTGAGCAATAAGCAAATCGACCAACCACAGTCGTTGATTCCTCACACGATCCAAGAATAATCGATTATGATTGGCCAATTTTCTTATGCTCACGTTTTTCCGTACGCTGTCCGCTTCAGAGGAATTTCGCGTATCTCGTTTCCCTCTGCTAGAGGTTTTTTCCGCTGTGTCTTTCCTCTTTTTATTTATTTTTTGTTAGATCACTCCGCGTGCACAGCAGGATATTAAAAATCCCTCGCGCGGCCCCGTTTTTCCGCTTGACAAAGTTATCTGTTTTGCGCGCGACGCTTTCCCGGTAAAACCGGTAGGAACGGCGATTAGCCTTGTATTTTACTTTCGTCGGAGCGATTTACGACTTTCGTTTTTCTCAACGACGGAGGCGCGTATTGCGCGCGCGCACGCACGCACACGCGACTCGTAAATTCGTCGATGTCGTCCGCGAATTATGCAATGCCTGCGCTCCACGCTCGCGAGACGTAAATCGCAGCTCGCTACCGATACGTCTTCCGAGAATCTGCATTCCGTGTCAGCCGTCTCTCAACGTATTTCATCTTGCCGAGTCGCGAGAAGAGAGACGTCAAATATGAGAAAAAAGAGAATCTTCCTTCGACGGTCGCGTTTTTTCTCGTGGCGAATAGAGACATTCTTACGTCGCTCGCAACTGTATATAACCGTCCTGACTCCTGACCCACGATTACTCTTCCCGTCTCGTCCCGTCTCGTCCGCGCACGGTATGTGGCGTGTGCTTCTCGCTAATTGCACACCGACGAATTAGGTGAGCCACTCGCGAGTGTTCTTTTTGCGCGGACACTCATTCAATTTAATATTTTAACGCAACGATATGACATTCAAAGCGGATCTGCGAGGAAACGTCAATTTCGTTAATTGAAATCGTATATGAGGACAATTAAGATTCATGTCAGCCTGAACGTTGATGTTTGTAGCAAATAACATTTATTACATAAATGAAGTGCATCGGAATCTATTAACCCTTCGAGAGTACGAGTCAGCGTGGAGCTAAACGCTTTGCATGGCCAATGTTTATTTTGCTCGTTCCTATTTTACATGCCTTATTTTCTGTCTTATATGTTTTAAATAATATTTGTCAGATAAAAATGTTATGGAACAAATTACACTCTCCACACATTAATAATTAATTTACCCTTTATAGGGCACTGGTACATAAGTTTTACCACACGGAAAAAAAAGTTTGGTTGAATTAACCAAATATCTGGTCGAATATAAACGATCCAGAAATTCCGATTGAAGTAACCCGAATTCTGTTTAAGTCAACCAAAAATCTTGCTAACTTAAACAGAATTTGGGTTACTTTAATCGGAATTTCTGGATCGTTCATATTCGACCAGATATTTGGTTAATTCAACCAAACCTTTTTTTCCGTGCAGCAGCACAGAATTGACCGAGAGAATCGGGAGTGATTCTAAACGCTTTTCCTGAATGGTCACTGGTACAACAGTTATACCGGTTGATATCTCTTATCAAAACATTTTTTCGGCCTCAAAAATGATATTAAAATATCTCTAAGGACTATTTTAATGATGTTCAACAGAAAAAACTCCTTTGTCATATCCAAGGAGTCTTGCCCTATAAAGGGTTAAACTAAAATTAAAGTTCCATTTTGTATGATAAATGTTATTTCACTCCAGTGTCGGCGTCCAAACTCGCGTGATCATCCTCTCAATTCTTATTCGGAGATAAATTCTTATTCTCTCCGAAACGGAATCTTCCGCTCCATTATCTCGCGCTCCACCATTCCGCTCTGTTGTCTCGCGCCTTAGCATCCCGTCACCTATATATCTCACGTTCTATCGATAGAATCGCCACGTACGAACGATTCTCTCCGCCGACTCACTTTTCGCGCCTCGCTCCGGCCGTCCGAAGGCGCTCGCGACGCAACTCTGCAAATAGAATTTTGTTTACCGCAAGGACAGCCGACGCATCGCGGTCTTGTGACAAGTCGCGATGATGCCTTCCCGCCGATGATGGACACATGAGCTCTCGAAATATTCGTATCAGTCGCGATCGCTTTCGAAGTCACGAATCTCTCCTTCTCTCTGTCTAGTCGCGAGCGAGCGAGCGAACGAGGCGAACGAGCGGAGGGAACACATCGTCGTCGCATACGAAACAACTTAGCCGGTTCGTTTGTTTCTACAACGTAAATGTATGTACGCAGCGGCACATCGTGTGTACATGGCACATCACCATACCATACACGGTTGTGTTTATGCATCTGTGGCTGTGTGTGTATCCGTGACAATGGTGTTGGACTGTTTGTAAAACACACACGCGGTGATCTTCCGCGTGAATCGAAAGAATTCCATTCGCGCGATGCACGCTCTGAGAGAAAAGAAGGTCTGTAGAATAAAGAATATTTGTTCGACGTTTAGCTCTACGCTGACTCGTACTCTCTCGAAGGGTTAATAGATTCCGAGATGCACTTCATTTATCTAATAAATGTTATTTGGCACGAACATCAACGTTCAAGCTGACATGATTCTTAATTGTCCTCATATACGATTTCAATTAACGAAATTGACGTTTCCTCGCAGATCCACTTTGAATGTCACGACGTTGCATTTAAATATTAATAATATATTCATTTGAATCTAGGTTCTTTGATTTATAAATACAATAAACAATTGCTGTCATGATAGGAGGCTAAAGTTTCAACAGAATGTATATTTTCTTATCTGAACAATATTTTGTATTGGTATAAGTAAACATCTTATTAGTATCCACCGAATAAATATTTGTTATTTGTTAGATATTTTTTTCCTCAGCGCACGCTTCGCTCGACGCGGTTTGAACGCTTTATTTTCGATGCATTTCAGAACGTAGCAGATGTGTCCAATGAGAAAACTTCTGGGAATTGATAAAAAAACAAATTCTCTTACGGGGCCATCGGCGCTGCGTTCTAAAATATATTGGAAAAAGAAGTGTTCGTACTGAAACTACACTTTCGAATAGTTGGCGGCTGATTAACTGTGGCAACACTTTCTCACGGATGAGTTTTGCATCGCATCCAATAGGAAATGTATCTTCCGAGAATTACTGAAAAACCAAATTCTATTGTATACAAAACTCCATCTACAAGTGTCGCTACCTTCAATCAGTCGACTAAACACTTCGATGCATTTCAAAACGTAGCAGATGATTCAATGAGAGAACTTGTGCGAATTGATAAAAAACAAATTCTCTTACTGGATCATCCGCTGCGTTTTGAAATGCTTGGAAAAAAGCTGTTGAAAGTATGTATGTGTGTGTGTCTTTTTCCTACTATCGTATTCGCGTTCATCACGTCTGCGCCTTCTCCTCGGCGAAGTTAGAAGCATATCACGCGTTCGCGAATTTTTGTTTTGCTACTATCGGTCCCAACACGCGTGTCTAGCTCTTGTTTTATTTCCGACAGATACGAATAACATCGCCAAGGAAACGTCCGCGCGAATATATGTACTGCCGCACTACATACCGCGCGCGCGAGCTCTCGAAGGCTCGTCGACGCGGTGCAAAGTTCAAATCAGCACATTCGTGAGCGCGCGGGGGTTCCCGTGTAAGTCCATACAACGACAAGTCCCGGCGAGATCGTGCGTTTGCTTTACGCGCCGCGGCCTAAGTAGGTTTGTAGGCTGGCTCGAGTTGACTTTTCGCCCCGGGATCTCCTTTGCGAATCTAACGGTAGTCCTTGCACGATTCGCACCCACCGGCGTTTTCTCGCCGGGGAGAATCGGCCGACACTTCAATGTCCGCCGAGAAGATCGCGTGTCGTCCGAGCGATCGAGCTGTTACTTTGTTGCCTGGCATAGACAGAATTTATCATGACATTATCATTGAATGCTGTATGTGTGTGTTGTGTGTGAATTGCCACGCATGGAACGCCTTCTGACAAGGAGGACTCGTGACGCGCACGTGTCACCGATTCTCCTCGTTATTCGCGAGCATGACGCTCTTGAAATGTGCAATTAACTCCGTAGGAGCGAGAAGAGGCGGAAGTTTACAAAAATTGTATCGCGAAGTTTTGACACGCGAAAAAATAAAATACAGGCGAAACGCGTACACCCGACACAACGACGACAACGACTACGTCGACGTCGTGGTCTTCGTAGCGTGTCGTCACGATGGATTCGACCTTGGCGGTGTTTCACGGAGCGTAAAGTCCGCTCCTCTCGTGCCTTCACGTCGCCTGCCAATTATTTCGGTTATTCCGGTACGTACGACCGAATGTCGGCCGGTCGTACTTTTTCCCATCAATCAAGCACGCGCGCGCGTTGCATATTGACGGCGACGTTGCGCAAAAGGGATCTTTCGCAAATCGGTCTTGACAAGAGATCAGGAGAAGAGAGAGAGAGAGAGAGAGAGAGAGAGAGAGAGAGAGAGAGGTCGTCGTTAGAGACGCTGCAACTACTACGTCGCAAACACCGTCGAACGTAGTTCTCGCGAGCTTGGCATAGGATGATAGCTAGGAAATACCGCGACCTATGATATAACAGTGGCGTCTTCACGATGTACACACGAAGCTTCCGCTGAAAAATTATTTCAGAACACGCTGGTCGCACGTGAGAGCAACCAAATCGCGTTGATTCGTCGGAAGGCACGTATCGTAGAGCTTTCTCAGCATATCGTGGACTAACATATCGTGTACGTTGACGCAGAAAGAACGGTAAATAAATGTTGGACGCTCTTAGAAGCGGAACGTCACGCACGAAAATTGGCATCGGATGCAACTTTCGGCTATCTGTCGTGATCGTTGCGACCGTCGAGGGCTCGCTATTGTTAAGCCCAAACACAACGGAGGATACAGCTCTCCTCTCGTGTCGCGCTTCTAAGAAAAAAAACAGAACGTCGTGTTATTGCGCAAGCGAGAAGATTTTACGACGACTCGAACGTATCATTCATATCACCATTGGTATATATCATTCTCTGTTGCAGTTTCCTGGTGAGTGCATCCTCACATACATGGAGTTTCAGTTGGATAGCGCAGAATACTGCCAGGCTCAACACAAATAGAGAGATACGCCCGTACTCGCTGAGGACTATTAGGTATTGTTGAAGCGAGGAGAGAGAGGGAGGGTTAGACACATCTCGGAGAGAGAAGAAAGGCGAACATTGAAGTAGAGAAATATCACGTACGGGGAGAGCCGGAAAAAAGAAATCATCAACTAGTCATCACGCAAGGCGTAGGAGAATTTTAATAGAAACAATTATTAATTTACATTAGTAGATGCAAACATCGTAGTTACTGAGCGCACCTGTCACACGGGAGCACCCAGTGCCAAATAGGTGAGTGTGCCTCCGTTTATAGAGACTAAGTTCCGTTTTAGAAACGAAGATACAATTACCGCGGTCATTGAGAAAGTAAAAATATCTGAGCGCGCGAACACACTTACGTAACTTATTCGTATTTCCGCTTTCAGATAATCTTCCGAGTCATAGTCGAAAGTCTCTCAAGTGGGGAAGAGTAAAGCGCATATCAACACCGCCTAATGTAACGTAGCCCTTACCCTTTCGGCGAGATTCGCACCCCGACAACCTCTCTCGAAGTCTACATGTAAACCCACGGTTCTGTCCTCTGTAAAAAAATAAGGGATATTCTTATTAGTTAAATGAGAAGCAACTTTATAAGACTGACATTTAATGGGCTAAGTTGTCAAATCCAGCCTTTGTCGCTTCGTATAGTGTGGCACACGTACGAGACTCGCGAAGAGACAAGTTCTAAGATCTTTTAAGAGTTAAAAACAATAAGGGGAGATAGATATATTATACAACCATCTGCCGTTAAGAAGGAAATGAGCAACATGAGGGTGAAGGATATCAGGCCGGCGCCCGCCGAAATTGAATACAAAAACATGAAGTTCCTCATCACCGATCGGCCCAATGATCAAACCATCCATACTTTTATTCAAGTGAGTAAAAGCCGGACGCGCAGCGCTCGCAACATGTCGCTCGTATTTATTCGTTCTACTTAGTAGTTATAATTCTCCCAAAATATTATTCTCTATTCTTCTTTTAAAACACAAATATCATCATAACGCTTCCTCTCAACAGGAACTGAAAAAGCACAATGTAAAGGAAGTGGTGAGAGTCTGCGAACCAACGTACAAAGTCGAAGAACTTAAGTCAGAAGGGATCAATGTGATAGATTTGGTGTTCGATGACGGTACATTCCCACCGAACGAGGTAAGATGCCCGCGTATAAAGTCAAAAGAGTCACGGAGGTTAGCAGTCATTATATTCAATTTACTGTTGTTGTTACCACAATTCAAGGTGGTGGATGAGTGGTTCGAATTGTTGAAGAATCGATTCCGAGAATCGCCTGATGCATGCGTAGCGGTACACTGCGTCGCAGGTCTCGGTAGAGCGCCAGTTCTGGTAGCGGTAGCTCTCATTGAACTTGGACTTAAGTTCGAAGACGCCGTTGCCCTTATCAGGGAGTAAATAGTTTCACATCTTGTTTCTCGCATATTGCACTGTGTCGGCGTTAACGAACGCAAATTGATACCCTTCTGTTTCCAGGAAAAGACGAGGCGCCATAAACGCGAAGCAGTTGACTTTCCTCGAAAAGTATCGTCCCAAGTCTCGATTGAAGATCAAGAACGGACAGAAGAATTCCTGCTGCATCCAATAGATGGGAGGATTTTTTTCGAAAAACGAAAAAAAAAACGGAAAAGTCACTAATTCACGATCGATATAAATGTATAGGTTTTTACGCCTGGCAACAAATGGTATATTGTAGCGAATCTGTTTTGAATGGCCTATCAATGGAAATGCAACCGTGATGAAGAATTGCATCTTACTAATTGCAATCAACCAGTCGCAATTTTGAGGCACATTCTGTCTGTCCAATTATGTACTTTGAGACAAGCCATTAACACATGAATTGCTTCAAATTGTTGCTGTGTTTCCTTTTATGAAAATCCTGTATTTATTTTTGATACTTAATCAATATTGATAAGACAGAAGTTAAGCCTTAAAACTGTAATAACTATTTTTAAAATATTCGTGAACGATTATTGTTGCTACTCATTCATGCTAAAATATGGATCATGACACGTAAGATTTTTACTCGCACGCATATTATTCATTATAATATTTTTCCCTAATATGGGAGAAGGGGAGAGAAACGGAAGTTCATTATAAATCATTATGAATTGGTTTATATAGGAAAAAAAATTTTCAACTGTAACTGTAATCAGCTAACACATGTGGTATGTATCGGCTTTTCGTTATATCATTCTTCTTATTATCATTGAAAATTATATTGCGTTTGCAAAATAAGTAGAAAACATAGGATATTTTTTATTTATAGGAATTTTAACAAGTATAATTTGAGAATCATTGTTAAGTTTACATTGAGTGATTGTACATTACATTTCCAAATAAGTATAGTCAAGAGATGAACAAGGCGTTTATAAGGCATGTAAATGACACATACAAAGATATTCAAAACAAAACATTAAAATCTGATTACATGTAATTCCATTTAAAAAAAAAAAGTATGTCTTGACTACTTAATATATCACTCTTTGGAAGCATCTTAAATATATTCTTCACAATATATAATTAGAGTAAAAAAAGGGAGGGATGCGCATCTTTGTTCAAATGTCTAACGTGTATGGTTTTGATACAATGTATCAGTCGCAGCTTTGTAAGGTATGAGAACGAATGAATATGGTGTAACAATTAATTATACAATGAATCAGAATACCACAGTGAAAGATGATCGATGGAAAAATGCCAAGTACTATAGTTTGCGAAACGTAACATTGCAGTTTTGCCGAGAATGTTCTCTTTTCTGTTATGTCAATTATTGAGTACACGGCTAATGTTAATTTGTATTTAACATAATATTGTTGGAGGAACACTGTTTAATACTTGGTTTGCGTATCTTTTACATATATATCTGTAAAAAAAATGTATTTTTACTTTTTAATATTCGAGACACGAATTGTATGAAGCGTTAGAGTTTGGAAATATAACTCGCGCGTTCTTTAAAAATTTGTCCAAGTTTAAAGAACCAAGAGAACAACATGTATATGTATTGCGTTGCATTTCCAATGGCATGCCGAACCGCTGATGGATGTTCTTAACTCTTATTGGACTTGGAATCTGCGTTAACTTGAACGACGAGAATGAATAACTCGAGAATAACGAGAAACTAACGCGAGATAAAAAAATCACACTCCAGAGTTGTATATCACGTTTATCGTAGCTCAACGACAATTTCACCAAAATCTTTGCATATCTCTGAACTTTAGTCGGAAACGAAAGGAATAGATTTTTCAATCTGACACGAGCATTTTATGTAAAGCCATCGTCGTCTTCTATTTTGGTAAAATTGTCAGTGACGCTGTACGCCACACTAAACTGTGTTCAAAGGATAGAAAAAGAAATTCACTCGTAAACTAAATATAATAACTTAGAACATTTCGCGCGTCTGCTGATTTTACGTGAATGTACGTTCTTTGTAATAAACAGATACGCCGTTTTCGCTTCCGGTTGTCCCCTGCTCAACAATAGATGCGTGCCGGAAATGGTACTATCGCACGACGGTTACGCGGTGATCAAGCTTGGTCGGTGTATACACTATGTTTCACCAACAGAGTTTAATTGCTACAGCACTACTGGCATGCGCGATCATTGTATTTCCAGAGCGCGCGACAATGAATCGTTATATATTATGCGTTTGTTTAATCGCCTCGGCAATTCACCTCTTATTCCACAAGACACAAACGACACGATCGATTGACGTTTAACTACTAGATGAACGGCGAACAGTTTCTTTTTCTAAGCGACTCTCAGTTCTCGCGTATATGTTTTATAACGAGTGACAACACACAACGGAGTACATTCACTACGATCGCAGATACTCGGATTGAAATCTAAATCTGGTACATCTCCTTTTTTGTAATATTAAAAAACTGCAATATTTTTTACCAGAGGATGGGACGAGGGATATTCGTAAAAAAGAAAAAAGATGATCCAACCTTAGATACAAAAGTACATACTTTTTATTGTTCACCTCTAGTTTAATTATGATAGTTAAAGCAATTGGACGAGTTTTCTTTTTAAATGGTACCCCCCTTTTAAACAGGCACGCCAGCATCGTACGAGAGAGTAGGCGTGACCTCAAAAAAAAAGTTACCATGCAATTGTTTTCATCATTTAGCTATTGCTTTTGCACACCGATTCACTTCTTCAAGTCGTATAGTTAATTTGATAAATAACTATAAATATGAAATATTTTCGCCTTTTTTTTATATCTGTGATACGTTTATCCTTTTGTGTATAAAAAAAGCACAGACTGAGAAATAGTATAGAGCGATAATTGCGGTGTTCAAACTGTGATGCTAAATGTAAATGCTAACGGTTCTGTGTAGAAAATTATGCACGTTTTATTTGAAAAGTTAAATGTTAAATTACAATTTAACATGTTGAAATCATACTGCTGTGCAATAACTCTATTTATAAACAATACACACAAGAGCGTGGGATGTTGTGTTCCTCGAAGAAATGAATCGAGTCGCTGCAAAAATTAATACCGTTCAAAGAAGAAATGTAATCGCAATTACGATCAAGATAAATCTTTCTTTTTCCAATAGCTATTTGATGATATAAATAATACGATAATTTTCCACACGTCGATGAGAAAAATCACTTACGTTTAATTACGTGTCTAATGTGAATATTCGAAGCAAGAACAATTTAGATAGCAAAGAAATCCTCTATTTTGAACCGACGTAATAAAATAAGAACAATCACTCCCCTACAAATTGATTATACAAAAAAAAAATAAAAGTAACGAGTTAGCGCAATTTAAACGAAGATTGCTTTACTGTTTAATTTCATAATGCAATTTCTCCTACCCATTACTCTCTCTCTCTATTACGATTATCTTTAATTAAATTTAACAAACGCTCGTTTTGTTACATTGTAAACGTCAGTGATGAAATAAAACAGAAATGATGTTGTTTTGTGAAAAAATAAAGAATGATGTTTTATAATGATTCTTATAATCTGATGTGTACTGTAAAAATAAAGTTTCTAATTTTATTCTAGCGGAATATTTATAGTACACGCATCTCATTCTCTTATAACCGGTATATTAAGAAATACGTATATCATCGCTACAAAGTAATTAGATATGCCGTATTAGTATATATATATATATATATATATATATATATATATATATAAAAAGCATATTTACGGCCTACTTCACGTTGCACGTACAATTTATTTTTATTACATGAACATATCATCACCCATAAATCTCGGAGGAAGGAAGTCGTCATTATCGGGTCTACGACGATCTGACCTTGGTACGTTTAAATCGGGTGGACCAAACGGATCGAATCTCGCACCAGGTGGCACCGCACCTCTACGAAAAGAATATATACATAGACTTCTATGAAAAGAATAAAATATATATATAACCATATATGTAACCCTTTTTTTCAACACCCTGCATATATATATATATATATATATATATATATATATATATATATATATA